AATCTTTGGGGTGGGTGGGCGGGGGATGTTGGGGAAATGTAGATCTTTAGTCAAGACTGTAGATTTACAAAAGTAGGCCTTATCCATCCAGATATGCTTCCGGTGGGATCTTTCCAAGATGCCTTGTGTGCCAGCCTGCAGGACCCTCATGACAATGAGTGGGTGCCACATTGGATCCTTCGCTACTCAGCAGTCATTAAGCACAGAGGAATCATCAAGTCAAAGGGTTACATGGTCCATGCCAAGAAACAGGTGACACAACAGCAATGAAAATGCCTCAAGGACATTTGGATTTGATTCTGCCCAGTCTGGTTCTGACTCACTCAAGTTTGGAAAGCTCCAGGAAGATACAAAGCCCTGGGAAAGGATATGTGTGAGAAATATCACTCTTTTCTCTCTTTTTTTAAAAACTTGGCTTTCGATTTTTTTTCTCTCTCTGTGACTGTTTACAGCTACCGAAACTGTTTTTTGAAATTGTTTGATGCGAAGAAAACATCTACCAATGACTAAAGCTGGTTACTCCAACTCCAGTTGAGCGTTACTGTTTAATTACACTCCCAGGACACAGGATGCCATGTTATGGAATATCAAAGCAATTCCTACATTTCCATAGCACTTTTCATGACCTCCAGGATGACCCCACAGTCAACCTTTTACCTTGAAGCTCTGGTCAATATTGTGTACACATTAAGACACCCAGAAACAACAGTGTGATAAACTGATCAGTAATCTCAGTTCAGGGATGGGAAAATAGGGGAACTAGAGAGAATTCAATTCCAGAAAAAGAAACAAAGAGAGGGAAAATAAATTAATAGAGAGGAATAAAAGGGACAGAAAGGAAAAGTGGCAAAATAATCAAAATATTTAAAACTGTAATGTTTTAAAATGTTGTTGGAAAGATTGACTACCTGAGATAATGAGATTGCTCAGGTTAAATTGCTCCCTTTCTGGGCCAATTGAGTGGCTTTGCATTAAATTATCATATTGTGAATAGGATATTAATGCCAATTAGGCTGAGACCTAACTTACTCAAGTGAATTTCTACAATTAATGCAGAAAGTATTTAAAAATAACAGGTGCTTTACCACAAAAGATGGTGGCAAGCCAAGCATAAAACATTGTAGAATCGAGAAGCTGGTGCTGCAGATTTGCAATGCACACAGTTGCTCCCCTCAATTTCCTCATTTGTACATTACTAACAGTCCTTTGTGTTAACTGTGATTTGATCCCACCTCACAGAAAAGCAAGGGAGCGGGTGTTACGGTCAATATTTATCACCAACCCACATCAGATAAAGAGACGGACTGGTCGTTATCAGATTGCCGGTTGTGAGATCTTGCTGTGAGCAAATTGCCTGTGGTATTTCCTACATTACAACACTTTAAACACAACACTGAATTGTCTGTAAAGCATTTTGTGAAGCTATAAAAATGCAATAGTGGGTGTATTTCCACAGCTAATGGACTGCAGTAACTGAAGAAGCCAGCTCGTCAGAACCTTCTCAAGAGCGATGAATGCCAGCAATGCCCACATCCCTTTCTATTTCCTATCAAGGGATGTGGGTGTTGCTGGTTATGCAATCACTCATTGCCCATCTATAATTATCCTTGTACTGAGTGGCTTGGTGCACCATTTTGGAGGCGAGTTAAAAACTCCATTGGTGGAGGTTAGTAAGCTGAGGTGGCTTAGTTTGTGATGCAGAGTGAAACTATGCCAACAGTGCAGGTTCGATTCCCGCATACGCAGAGGTTACCATGAAGGACTCCACTTCTCAACCTCTCCCCTCACCTGAGGCATGGTGACCCTCAAGTTAAACTATCACCAGTTGCCTCTCTTTCTAACTGACGGAGCAGACTTATGGCCTGGTAGGATAATGGTGACTTTAGTTAATATACAGCCATGACATTCACAGGCATGTAGGGGCCTGAGCTGGTTACAACAAAGCAGTATGCTTTTAATGGTGTGCCATGCTTCAGGTGATTGGAGTTAAGATGGAGCTCAGATTACTAGTCTGACTTAATCCTTGTCCAGCAAAGGCCTGGTCCCAAGATGCAGATTAGGGAGGGACAACCCACACAAAATCCTTCTACATCCAGGTTACATCATATGATGCATAGCGCAACATCACGAGATGTCTCTTAAAGGTATACCGCCATACTGTGTCCCTTAAAGGTATACTGCCATACT